TGGACGAGCTGAGTCTGACACGCTTTCCCTTATCAAGCATATCTTTTTTTTTGAAAAAAGTTATGACGATGCGACGCTTGTGACGGATTTTTATGTGAAGTCACGTTTTTCTTTGCAGAAGTTGTGAGCGGTAATGTATATCCTTGCTATCCTCACTATTTTACTCCACCTTCTAAATTGGATGACTCATCAACTCCACTCGACACAATTTTTTGAGGAAATTTGCAAGTATTGGAGTGCGACTGTTGCAGGAGAATTGAGAAATTTAATATTTCACAGACACTCCTTCTGATGCGTTCTTCTCAAATAATACACACACAAAAATTTCTAGTAGTAGCAGCAGTTAGATATTCATAAGTTTACCTCTTGTGGTTGTGGCTTCAATTTGATTGTTGTTGACATCGTCTTGGAGTTTGAGCGATGGATTCGAATGTTTCTAGACAGAAGAGCAAAGAGGATATCAGATAAAATGGCCACATTTTCTAATAAAGAAGTAAAGCCGTTCCAAAGGGCTTCGGCACAAGGTTGGACCTTATGTGTACGGATACCCACTTGCAAATTCAAATTAGAAATTACGATAATCTTTCTTCCTTTACAAACGCGTGCTAATTGGACAAGTATCGCCGATGTTTGTCTAGAGTGCATTTCTGCCTTAAGGTAAAATGATTTAGGACCCTAGTAAGGGAAGAAGGAGGTGCTCTGATGTTAGTATTGGATTTTACTTGGACTAAGGAGTACATAAAAAGTGTTAATAGAAGAAGAGGAAAATTATGCGAAAAAAGAAAAGTGTTTTCCAATCAGTCTGAACTTTCTAGGTCTCCGCCGGAGGCCTAAATCACAAAAGTATACGGCAATTATTTATTCTGTTTCGAAACATTACATACAATTCATAATCTCTTTGTGTACATCTCAATACCAAATTTGGTGGCTGTTCATGCCTATTCGCTTAGAATAAGGGTGTACATGGACACTTCAAAATATTGATTTCCTTGCGATGCTCAGGTTGCCGCATCCTGTACATATCACCTTCTATTTCTCCCTACAACTCCTAGACTCCCCACGGAACCTATTACCGTTATATCAGGATTTAAGATTAAATGAGAAATGTTGCAATGGAATTACCTCATTCCGCTGTTGCAGCTTGTCTGACTTGCTGAAAGTGAGGGTATTTAAAAACAATCAATATGGCAAAAGTTGACAAAACATCTGTCAACCTACTCGAATATGATCATTGGTGGTCCTGCAGCGGTGACTGAAGAAGTTCCTTCTGCAAGAACATTATTGAGTTAGAGACTTGACACTATTAGGACGTGCCACACTTCGCACGACTCATGGAGCGTTGTGAGACGTTCGTATTCCCACAATTTTGTACTTAAATTTTTTCAAAAGCTTGGCTATGGAATGGGAAAATGTCTCAGAAGCGCTGGTACTAATTCTCATATCATTTAACGCCTTCTTCTTAAATTGGTTTAGGTTTGTTGTAGAGTGTGGAGACCTACAAAACAAAATATAGAACTCATAAAAGTTAACTGCCAGGCTTTTCAAACAAAATTCGAGAGGTTTTTTGCCACAATATTTTCCCGTAAAACTACGGTAGCTGTTATGAGATAGACTCCTAATCAATTCGCTGCCTACAGTATATTCAGTTACGGTGAGGCGTTATGAGAATGGTACAATAGGCGAACTCCACACGTTGCTTGACCTAAAATTATTGGGAGAAACGCCAAGCGTCGTTTCTCAAGAGGCAAACAGAAGGACAGATTGTCATGAATGTATTGAAAAATTGACGTATTGGAGTAATTATTTTCAAACCTGTAACTAATGTAGGGAATAACCTCCTGGTCGTACGAGTGGCTGCGCGAGTGGTTCCGCGAGTGGTTGAGGAATGATGACGTTGAGTTTCGCCGTCCTGATTGAATGTTTCAGTGGAGGAATACAAAAAGGCAATAGCGTGAGGCTTTTTATACCCAATTGACCTTTGAAGAAATGTGATTTTGAAGAGGGATACGCATTTTTAACTTGTCATTCAGACAAGGTTTCTTGAAATAAACACAGAATTGAACGCATAGCTATACCTACTGGTCAAGAATTCATAATTACAGATAAACAATCAGAAAGCCATTTTGTTCTATTAAAATACGAAAATATTTTGTAGTTAACGGTTACGTAATCAAAGCATGAAAACAATAATATAATGACTACAGTACTGCTTATAACATTGCTCTTATATTCAGACCTCGAAAGACGTTAAGTGAACTCATAAATCAACAATATTAATATCTTGATGCAGGTTTTCAATTAGGCTGAAAAGAAAGTTTGTTCGAAATTTGACGATTGTGATTTAATATGAAATTCTCTTTCATATTCGTAACATGAAATGTCAAAACGCCTATAATGCTTTGTCGAAAATTTACACGGATTTACTTCGGATTACATTACCACAGATCTATAGGACTTATAATCACATAGAAAGAAGGTAGGTTCGAGTAGGTAATCGAAACACTGGGCCGAATCAGGGAAAGACCGATAATATGCTTTCGCATTTTAACTACTAGCGAATCACTTAATAGCGGCAAAAAGTTTTACAAAAGCAAAAACGTCAAAGACGAAAATTGTTGATGATGTTTATTAGCAAACGTAGGGTATGAAAGAAACCAACTAGACATGAAACCTCGCAAATGCTTAAGGAAGTGGTAACGGTGTTATGAGCGGTGCGAGTAGGGATCGGCTGAGTCAGGGTTTTGAAACAGAGGTAAATCCTTTTTTAAAGCACAGCACAATTGCAAACAACAATTTTCTCACTTGGCGGTATAAATTTTGATAATTAGACTAGGAAACTTTGCTTCCGCAACTCTAGTTGGCCCCCTCTTATACTTTGAAACAATTCGATAATTTAGAAAAAATGATAGATACAACCCGCATGTCGAATCGTTCTAACGGTCTTTCAGCCTCTAACAATCGACACGACTATTGACAAATGAAAAGTTGCGTCCAATCTGGTTCGAATTCATCTGGTTCTCGGCTTTGGTGATAAACTTTGATCTGAGCTGAGATGTGTTTTTGAAAGTGATGAAATTAAATCCGAACAAACTTATTCTCCAACCTAACATATCTTTGTGTGTGTAAATGTAAAGGCTTAGAAGAATCCTATTAAGAGCTAGGAAGTTTGACTTAAGGTCATTAAAGCCTTAATCAGCTTTATACCCCAATCCTCTGGATTAGCTTTTGATTTACCTTGAACGTAGGAAGAACGCTTTTGACTATTTCTTCTCTCTCCTCCGTGTCCTCTTCATCTTCAATGTACTCGATTTCTTCGTAAGATTCCTCCGGGCCAAAGGTTGGAAATGCGGTTGTTCTTAAAATATAGCAAAGTGACAGATCCGCCTTTCAGTCATTTTGTTAGTAAACATATATTACGTTGCTGTTGTGGTTGGAGCGTCACTGATTGTATTCGTCAATGGTCCATACTTCAGTAGACGTTTCGAAGTGGCTAAGAAAATATAACGTTCAACTGAGAGAAAGGCATTAATTTATCGTTTTCACATGAAATGAAAGATATAGGTCTGGAAAATCAAGAAGGCCTTGAATTATCCATTAGAGTTTAATCAA